AACCCCCCCCCCCCCCCCCCCGAGACCACACGGTAAATGCAATGTCTTTGCGGGCAGTGGGAGCAGCAGCCAGAATATCAACGTCTCTCCGAGAGATAAAAAGAACGGCACGATGGTGCGGTCCGCTCACAACCATGCAGTGCAACATTTCCACAAAGGGTGCGCTGGTCGTTCGCGTATGTACACGTGTCACGTGCAAGCAGTGCGCCAACCACAGTAATAAACGCACTCGCCGACGAGCAAGGTAAGGAAAACCCCTGAGAAGCGGTTAAGACCAAGCCCGCACACGCTGAAGGCTGTGCTGCTGAGGCTGTGTTTCACACATCATGCACCCAACACGCCAAAAAGCAGGAGAAGGAGCAACAGCGGCGCATTTGCCGGTCTGGGACGTTCCGAACGAAACCTGGCTCCGTTGTGCGCAGATCGCGCGAAAGTGTGAGTATGCAACACAACAAAGACGCACTTCACTGTTGTGGGGACGGGTCCAGTCCTCAGCCCCGTATCTTCTGAACATGGGTTCGCGATGTGCTCGCTGTCGGTCTTGCGTGTGGCCATGTAAAAATCATTTGAGGAGCTATAAAAAACTCGTGGTAAACGGGGTGGTGGAACGAGGTTGGAGAAAGAATCTTCAAGGGTCCTTCCAGATTGGTCTTGATTTTGATGGATTGCGAACAAGACCCTAGGAGCGCACATGAGATGCACCAGACCGGCTGGGAAGCGTTCCTCCGGAAAACTCTACTCTAGCTGTCGCACTGAGCAGCGGTTGGGACTGGTCTCTACCCACCGTATCACGAAGTCTACATACCTCCACACGCCCTAGGCATATTTTCCCGCCAACGTTTCCAATTCAAGGACACACATGGCCGGTGCTCAAACAAGTTCATTGCGTTGCACAGTCCCGGCTTGGACATCCATGCCAGTAGAGGAGATCATGGAGTAGCGGTATGCGCGCTGGCACGCCCAGATCTGTTGCTGGGCCCATGCTGTCTGAAACTACTGTGCCGGTCCGAAACGTCCGCTAACTTAGGTCCATACCATTCACGATCCACTGCTGTACGCGCCGCCACAGACCCAATCTTAGCTGCACTTTGTCGAAGGCAGTAAGATAGTGTCACAAGCTACTGCTGTTGCCCAGCAGCTGGTGGTATTGGGACTGTGACGGTGCGTGCAGCCGTGGGTCATCAATGGCATGGCCTGAAAATTTCCGGACGTTTCGGGCCGCACGCAGCTGCAGCCTCCACAGCACGGCCCCAGCAACATATCGGGGCATGCCAATACGCATGCCGTTGCTCCATGACGCCCTCTATTGGATCGGAAGTTCAAGTTGGAACTACGCAATAAGCAGCAGTGCCATTTTCGAGATTTAATCTTTGATTTACATGTAGGAATGCTGTAGAGCTGGATGCTGTAATACTGAAAACCGGGGTTGGCAAGCAACCGTTGTACCAATGGAAAAAACCACCCCCCGGTGAATATTCTTGGCCAATTTCCTCTGTGTACAGATGGCGCCCGCGCTTAAGAACCACTAGTTTCGGCCGAGGCTGGGGTTCTGTTTGTGCTGATCATTCTCTTGTGGGCTACAAATGGCCGCTATCTAGGTTTTAGTGTGGGGTTCTTTACCGAGCTCACAAATGGTGCTCAAGTTCTAGCTTCTGATTTTTTACTAGTCTCAATTTCTCAACTGCCAAGTTCGTAAGTGCGGGCGCTATCTGTATCTAGAATACATTTCTACAAGCATACTTCGTGAGTATCGGCTGCATGTGACTGTACGGCTGCATGCATTCGTACTTTGTGTTACCGAAGTTGGGAGCTGTGTGCACGTGTGCACAGGCCCCACGTGTGCACAGGCCTTTTGGTGCGCGGACAGCAGGTTGTACGACAGCAGCAGACTCAGCAGTTCCCAAACAGCGTTCACAGCAGTATTTTCGTGAACACAGGAGCCAGGAACCGTGAGGCAGTTCCCGAAAAGGCGTGTGCAGCTCTATTCTCTAGAGAGTTAGATACACTTTACACGGTCCGGGATGGCGGCAGAGATGTAGACTAGAGGCACTCACCAAGCATGTTATTCTCGAGAGCGAACTCCTTGAGAGCTGCCAACGCCGCGGAGGACAAGCCGAGCTCGTCCTCATCAGCTTGCTGCTGCATCACACCTCCGGTCCCTTCCTATATCTTCCCTATGCCCCGCCCCTCGCAAGCCGTTAGGCAGGCTGAGCGCTGAGCACTGGAGCTGGCTGGGAGCGGCGAGCTGGGAGCGCTGTGCCTTGCGGCAGTTCTGCGGCGCGCTCTGGTACCCTCTGCCATCGGCCGCCTGGACCGTGGATGGTTCGATTTGGTTCATAGTCGATCGTTGCCTTCCGAACCAAATGGAAACCCGATCTGATGGAATAAAAAAAAATTTAAAATCAAGGTTAGGTTATGTAGGGTACCCACAGATCTATACCGGGGGTAGTTACCCTCTGTTATACCCTACAGAACAATTCTGTGAGTTCTGTTCTGTGAGTTCTGTGCCCGTAGCGCCACAATACCCTACACTTCTGTGAGTTCTGTGACGGTTGCACCACAGTACCCTACACTTCTGTGAGTTCTGTAGCACACACGGTACCCCACAGAGATTACCCTCTTG